AATAACTTTTTGCTCCCCAAACCTCGATAATGATTTTGTTGTGGAAGAAGGAGACTTTTTTCATTTTGTAGCAATTTATAAATTGGCGACTTTTGGGTAGTGGTTCGAGGTTTGAGCTAAAAGTTATTTTCATTACATAGCGTCAGTTACTTATTGTGATGGTTTTGTCCGTGTGAATGTTCGACCGTAAGCAGGATATCTCCAGAACAAGTCAACAAATCAAGCTCCGTTTTCGTCCCTTGTGTTAGTAATTTTTAGTTCTCGGTCGAGTTCGAAAATGGGGTCAATCGGACTACACACCACAGCGCCAGGGGATGTGGTCAAAATTAAGTTTAACTTTAATTTACATCCGGGGTGTCATTTAAAAGGAAATTTCACCAATATTTTTGACCTCATGATCTTGAGGACGAGGTCAAGGGTCAGAAATAAATAAATGTCAGATGTGGTGTCATTCTAACAGAACTTTCGAAAATTCTGACGCTAATCTTTTATTATCGTTTGTAAGGGTTTATTTGAATAGTGGATTATTGAATTTTGCGTGTTGCAAAAAAATCTGGAAGGAACAAGCCTAGGATACCCATTATGACAAAGCCCTTCGTCCAGAGTTTCATATCGACCAATTTTTTCAAAATTTTTCAACTTTTCATCATTTCAATTGAAATGAAATTGTTTAACACGTTGTGCAACTGGTGACAAAATTTTGCTTCCCACTAATATTTACGAGAAATCCAGAAACTTTCCCAACTCTTCAAATTTTCCAAATAAAAATGGCAGTAAGTGAAAATTAGATTTAATTTTGTGCTGATGGATTTGGTCAGCCACCCCCTTAAAAAATTGTTAAAGATAAAAATAAATTTTGAACTGAACACATTAAACTAAACTTTGTATGTCAAAGTATATTGCAATTGTATATTGAATTAATGTATTAATGTATAGTATATTGAACTGAAGATCCTGTATATTATATACGTATATCTGTATATTGTATAAAGACCATTCGTTAATGTTTTGCTCAAACCGCGCGATCCAAAATTTCGAGTAAACCATAATAGTGTCAACCAAAATAATATGATTTTTGAAAGGCTGAGTTGTTAAGCTCTGTTTTGGTATATCACATTAAATTTGTAATAATGAAAAGGTAAGAAAAACATGGGTTGAAAATGAGCAAGTCGCAAAAAAGGTTCTCGACTTCTATAAAAATCAAGCCATCCGGGACTCCAAAATCACTTGGAATTTTTTCAAACAAGAAGGTATTCCTAGAAGAAATGTGTATTTCTACATAAAAAAGTTCAAGGATTCCGAAAATGTTGAGTTCAAAAAGCCAACTGGTCGTCCTTCAAAGTTAGCGACCCACAAGGTGAAAAAAAGAGTACAAAAAAATTTTGAATCGAAGCCCTCAACAATTATTGCTGCTTCAAAGATGACCAATATTTCACCAAGGTATTTATGCCAAATCAAAGTCCATGAGCGTGGGAGCAAGGCTCAGGCAAAAAACCTGCACCAAATTATAAGCCCCTACAAGGACCTAGGATACAAGACTGCTACCAAAAATTACTGAAGAAAATGCGAGGAAAAGTGGTCATCATGGACGAGACCTACGTTCCAGTGGACCCTTCAAATGTTCCAGGACGGCATTTTTATCATAGCTCGGACCCTTCTCTAGTGGCCTACGAAGAAAAAGTAAGAAAAAAAGACAAATTTACTTAAAAATATTGCATTTGGCAATGCATCTCAAGCGTCGGCCACGTTTCTGATCCGGTCGTTCTAGAAGGTAATAACAACCAAGACGTTTATCTAAAAACAACTTGTATTAAAGCTGGATTGGAAGCATTTATAAACAAGTTTCACAAAAATGACCAAATTTTGTTCTGGCCGGACCTTGCAAGTTGTCACTATGTAAAGAAAGTGACCGACTACCTCACGAGCAAAAATATTGATTTCGCACCAAAAGATATGAACCCTCCAAATGTCACACCACTTCCACCAGTTGAGAAATTCTGTGCGCTATCGAAAAAAGTATATTCAAAACTTCGAGATCAGCCTGACACGTTCAGAAAATTCAAAGGAAGATGGAGAAAAATCAATCTTGAAGTCGGAGGAACTTCAGGCAAAAACTTAATGAAAAATCTCCGACAGAAAATCGAATTAGTCGCTATCGGAGGGGTGGAATCTCTACCTATCAATTAAATTAATTAGGTCAACCCTTGCTAACCTACATATGCAAAGGGTTTTAAATTTCTGACACCGGGTGTGGTTTTACAGGACTTTCTTTCGATTTAAGCAAAACATTAACGAATGGTCTTTAGCTTAATTCGGTCGTATATTGTATATAATATAGTATATTGAGACGAATATTTGAGTATATTCGCAAAGTATATTCAATATACATTTTCATGTATATTGCCCACCTCTGGTAGTTTTAAATCAAAAATTCTCTAAACTTTGTACCTCCACGCATGGATGCAAAGTTTAAAGAATTTTCAAATGATTAAGAGATGTTTGGCTATATACTGTACCACATCTCTGCCATCATCTGTACGTTCAGAACGTGTTTTTAGTTCCAGCAGAATAATTTTATCAACCAAATGTCGGATGAATCGTTTAAAGCTCTTGTTTTGTGAAAACTAATCATCAGCATGAAAATGTGACGTTATTCAAGAGAAATATAAATTTTTGTAATCCAGATAATAATCCGTAATCTGATTACTGTAATCCGTAATCCACGCCACTAATTTACCCAAGTAATCCAACAAGTAATCCACATTATTTCAGGAGTGAAGTAATCCCAATCCAGTAATCCCATGATAATTTTAAGATTAATTAATATGTAATTCGTAATCCATCGAAATTGTTGGGATTGCCCATCCCTGAAAATAAAAAATAAATTCTATTTAGCATGAAGCGAAAAAGCTTTCTAAGAATTTCTAAGAATTACTTTCTCCACTTTCTCGATTGCATAGTCACGCCAGCTGTGTTGGCTAGTTCAAAATATATTTCACAAAATATAGCCAAAGTTGATAATTTTTCGATGACGCGACCGGAACTGATGACGATCATCCGGGTAGCTGCAAAGATTTGCACCTAACTGTACTGCCCCAAATTTTAGATCATTTCAGAATTCATTTCAGCATGCTCCAAATAAGCTATTAAGGCGAAATTGCTACGGCTTTGAAAGATTCGCCTTAATTGTCAAATATGAAGACTTTAATAAGACGGGTATTATAAATCTTGAGGACCATCAAACCTGGAAACTGTACAAACGCGTGCAATCCATGCGATTTGTGTACGCCACCTCGGCCACATTTATCCTGTTCTGGCTACCGTTTGGAATAGCGATGTCCTACTACCGAATTGTTCGGAAGCCGCTCAGCGAATTCAAGTCAAATGCAACTCGTACCTACGTTTTAATTTTTGTCGCCTTCATCTTCATCCTGATTTTACCCATTGTCATCTTCTGGACGAATGAACGACGCAAGAAAAAGGGGGAATTGAGAGTAATTAAATGGATGAGGAAGCAACAGCGGGAGCGAGACAGGAAAAACAAAAAGGCAGTCTCAGATTCCAGTGGATTCACAACGTTTGCCTGTTCGAATGTAGTAGTTACGATGGAATGTGGGCAAGAGATGGAGATAAAGATAACCTCTAAGACATCGCGATCCGCATCCCTGCCAAATATATCGGTAGAATTAACTGGAAATTCTGGGATTAACGTGAAGAGAGAGCGCTGTGTGAAAGGGAGTCATCCTACAATAAGTATTATTGGGGGTGGCGGATTATTTTAGAGGCGTGCATGTAAAGCCTCTCCAGTTAAATTGGAAGTACCCTCCAAATATTTCGGAACTACCCGTCATGAAAACCTACCTCTTAAATGCTGTTTTTGAATTAGGATTTTGGTGGCATACTACCTCTTAAAATAATGTACGTATCTACAAATTGTAATTTTAGCATTTTATATAAAAAGCGTATCATTTATGTACAAAATTATACTTGAATTGTAACTTTAATTCTAAAGTTAACGCTTCCATGAAAACATACGTTTTTAAAAACTACATGATAATTAAAGCTTTTGCGGACTTAACTGGTCTCCACCCATCACTGATAAGCAATTAATTAATTTGGAATACGATATGCAAAATGAGAGACTAATTCCATTTAACAGGAGGGAAAATTTAGAGCGTTAAAAGGTTGCCTACCAATTTCTTAAAATATTCCGAGGGCACTTCCCATTGTTTTAGTGATACATTAAATTATTTCCTATTTTAGGGTAGCTGACTGAAACATGTCCAAGCACTGGTTCTAAATGTACACAACGTTTCATAAATATTTAAATTGAAGGTATTATATGTACGAGTCATAAATATAACTTATCGCTGATTTTGATAATGTATAAATTTGCGACCTGATATTTGTGTATGCATGAGGAAAACCGAAATAACATTATCGCCTAATTTAGGTTAGAATTTAAGCTTTGAACATCGAACATTTTTCGACTAGTTTGCAAGTTTTTGATACGAATTATTTATTTAATTTATGTGCATATTTTCAGGGTCTCCGCTTGCAGGTGCTACATAGGTGATGGGTACCACACCAGGGCCGTGACTCCTTCATTGACAAAATGAAATTTGTCGCACACATAAACCATATTGTTTTGAACAAATTTAATGCAAATTGAAAGTTAATTCAGCACTGGAGAGATTTTCCCATATATCTCATACTTGGAAAGTCATAACATATATTTTACCTTGAAGATTGGCTTTAGAGCTCAGCTACTTTTTACAAATTGCAATCTTTAGAATTATAAGTGAAAATGAAGTTTTAAAGCGAGACACGAAATTACGACACTTGAAACCGGCTCAGCTGCACAATACTTTTTTGTGAAATTTCCAATGAACTTGAATATGTGAGCATTTGTTATAAAACTGTGACCAATATTAAATCTTATAATACATATTTTATTGCTTTTTTTACATTTGTAATTTTAATTCCTCTACCATAATGAATCAAACGAAGAAAATTTGTTAGGTGGAAAAATATCAAATATTGCGGTGCTGTACAATGATAGCAACCTTTTTAATTTTTAGGTTTGAAATTTAATAATTTATTTTGGTTTTTTTCAAGTACCAAAGAATCTCTACGCCTTTCCAAAATGTTAGTGCAAATATTATTATGAGAGTGAAAATAGCTGTTTTTCGAAATCCGTATAAATCGGTCAAAAATCCCCCCAACATTGGTCCAGTCATACTGCCCAGTGTTAGCGAGCTCATGTACGCCCCAGCCGAGATGCTGGAAGCTTTTTCAGTATTTAAACACAATTTTCTGCGTTTTCAAAAACATCATTCAAAACTATTAAAAAACTCCCGCACAAGGTTACGCCATACATTCTTAGTTAGAAATGGGGTTACGATATTACTCCACGCAGCATACACTCAAAATAAACTGGTGTCAATTCAGCGCGGTGTAGTCACATATAGACACCGCGCGGTGTTAATGCGGGCCATTAACACCGCGTGGTGTCTGTATGTGACTACACCGCGCTGAATTGACACCAGTTTATTTTGAGTGTACCTATTATCATCCTTCCTACAAAATTACTGTCGAGTACAAGGGGATTCGATGAAGTGTTGCACTCTGTTTAAAAAAACATGTGTAAATCCTCTAAAATAAGTCTGCGTCAACAAATAGCAATTTTCCAGCTATGCAGGGGGCGTGTATCCCCCAAGCTGAGTTGGAAAATCTTTCCACCAAGTGGGTGTGGTTTGGGGCCAAATGAGGTTTTTACTGAAATGGAGTCTATAGATATTCACGAGGTGTCGTGGGCGTGGTTGGGGTGAAGTGAGACGATTTTTTATCATTAATAAATGTACAAATAAACCGTTGCAGACGCACGTAAAGAAGCAGCTTCAGTCTCACTTGATCCCAACCACGCCCACGACACCAGGAGAAGGTCTATTTGTAATGTATTTCATCTATAGACTTCAGTTCAGTAAACATCTCATCTCGCCTAGACCACACTTACTGCGTGCAAGGGGGTGCGGCACATCGCGTGAACACTTATTTTCACTGTATTTCACCTATACAGCCAATTTCAGTAAGAATCTCATTTTGCCCCAAACCACACCCACTTGGGGGGAAAGATTTTCCAACTCAGCTTGGGGGATACACGCCCCCTGCATAGCTGGAAAATTGCTATTTGTTGACGCAGACTTATTTTAGAGGATTTACACATGTTTTTTTAAACAGAGTGCAACACTTCATCGAATCCCCTTGTACTCGACAGTAATTTTGTAGGAAGGATGATAATAGGTGTGCTGCGTGGAGTAATAATACCCAAAAAGTAAATGTATATCACTCTACCACTCTGGTTATGAATTTGTCACCAACTGGTTATAAATTTATTAGCTTTGGTGACAATTTATTACCCACTTGGCGAATCTTTATAATTAGGCGGTGACAATTGTAACCACTGAATGACAAATTTAAAACCAGGGCGGTTAAGGGACCAGACTAGGAACACCGTTGGTTACGGGGGTGTGGTTTGCCCCCCTACATTCAAGGCTTTACCGATTTTTCAAAAAAATGCTACCAGAGGAAAGCTGGAGCAAAACTACTTAAGATTTTTTCAAAGTAAATTTGAAGTCGATCAGTACGGCGGTACTCGTGGAATTTAGATTATATTGCCCTTCGATTGTGTTTTGTTCAAAAATCAGCAACTTCGTTACCACTCTTCCTACAGTGGTCATCTTGGTCTTAAAATTTTCACAGATAAATTATCTAGGTGCTAATGAGGGTGGATATTGGAAAATTTGATCGTGACGGGTTTTATTTGGCATTAATCGCGCTTTGCCTAACTTAAATTTTAGTTTTTAATTTTTAATTGTCAAACTCGACAAATTTTCCAATATCCACCCTCATTAGCACCTAGATAATTTATCTGTGAAAATTTTAAGACCAAGATGACCACTGTAGGAAGAGTGGTAACGAAGTTGCTGATTTTTGAACAAAACACAATCGAAGGGCAATATAATCTAAATTCCACGAGTACCGCCGTACTGATCGACTTCAAATTTACTTTGAAAAAATCTTAAGTAGTTTTGCTCCAGCTTTCCTCTGGTAGCATTTTTTTGAAAAATCGGCAAAGCCTTGAATTTAGGGGGGCAAACCACACCCCCGTAACCAACGGTGTTCCTAGTCTGGTCCCTTAAGTCACATACGTTTACTTTTTGGTTATAATCGTGACCCCATTTCTAAGAGTGTACCGACAGAAGTGTCACCAACTTTAGCATATCTTGAGCTTGGAGGAAGAAGAGAAAAATTGTTAATCCACATCCGAAGCTAAGGAAACAAATTCCGGTTACCACGGTGACAAAATCACTGCAAATATTAAATGATTTTTATGAAGGGAATTCTTTAATACGGTCAAAATAACCCAGTAAAAAGCGATACTACCGTCAGTAACTTGCATATATTTATATGTATGACTCTCCCGAGTCAGTAATAAATCTCTTGCCGCTGGTATTAAATTAATTACCACACTGGTAATGTTGATTACTCGTCGGAGACAGGTATTAGTAATACCGTATTACCTACCAGCGGTAATAAATTTACTACTGGTCGGTAATTTATTACCATGTCAGTGTATTTACCCGGGTGAAAAATTTTACGGATTTTATGCAGAAAATTGGCTGGATTTTATGCAGAAATATTATGCAAAAAAATTTATGCAGAAACAATTGGTGCACACCAATGTTCCCGCCAATTGTGGGAATTATGTCAAATTCTACATACGATTTTCACCCGGGAGCGGTAATAAATTTATTACTGGTCAGTAATTTATTACCATGCCAGTGTAGTTATGCAAAAGTACATGAATCTAAACCTGTCAATTCCTATCCCAACAATTGCGCAATTTCCGACCGCCTGAGCTGTGAGTCCGAGAAGAACAGCCACCTGAAATGGGTAGCCACTGCTGCCAACGGCAACCGTTAGAAGGCTGGCAACCACGGAGAATGCGCTGTAGAGAAGACCAGACCCGGCAAAAACAAATCCAATTACTGACGGGCTTGTGGTGAACTGAGAGTCAATTATGTATTAAACTCATACTTATATATTTACCATACATTAAAATTGAACTTCTCACAAGGTACAGTTACGAGGTGTCAGTCATGTCAAAGGTATCCACCATTTTTTGAATTTACTAGGGACCCTGGATGACGGATCCATTTTTATTTCCGTGTAAAACTTATATTTGGAGCCGTGTCGTGGCGCCAAATTTAAAAATCTGCATTTTCGACCAACCTTAGACTTGTATTACTTTTGCAGTTTCTGTTGAATTTTCACAATTTGGTGGTTAAAATGACCACAAGAGTCAAAATTTTCATGGCAAATAAGCAAATCTTAAGTTTTCAAATTTTTTTGAGAGTTTTTCGGCGAACCCTGTATCAAAAAATTAGGGAATTTTGTAAAATTTGAACATTTCATTGTCTTAACACTTCATGAAAATCGAAGTTGAGCCCTTTGTGCTGATTTTGATCAAAAAAATTTGAAAATCCATTCATGATTTCAAAAGTTATGGCGGTTTTAAAAATAAAACATTCGTATTTGGCGAATGTGGCGCCACGCAACGGCGCCAAAAACATTAATTTTACACGGAAATAAGAATGTATCCTTCATCTAGGGTCCTAGTAGATTCAAAAAAACAAGGTGAATACCCTGGACACGACCGACACCTCGTGAGTGTCCCTCGTCAGCTACCTCAATTCTTAGGAATGGTTCAATTGAAGCAAAATAGAACGTAATGACAGAGGATGTAAGGAAAATTGCGATAAAGTTTGTCAAGACGGCTGGATGTTTCCACAGGGAAATATTTCTTTCCTCCTTATCCCCGCACTTGTTCGTATTTTCGGGATCTGCTGCGTTATCCTTGATTTGCAGGAGAAATGTTGCCACTGCCGCAAATAAAATAAACAGGCTACCAACAACGACAAAAGGAGTGGAAAATCCTCCCAACTGAAATTAATCAAAAATGAACGAATATGTCAATTAGAATCTTAAAAGGTACAGCTATTCTTGTAGGACTACATACTGTAATTAATTCCTGATGCATTCAACGGCACTAATAAAATAATCTTTCTTCTGACTGATGTTCTACAATGTTGGTGTCAAGGCATATTTGTCATGTCATGTCATTATTGTCATAAATGTCTGACATTGACATTATTTATAAGTGTGCGACAAATATGATATTTGTAACATGACATTTACGACCTTCAGACCATCCAGCTTGAACTTAAGCGGTATAATTAGTGTAAATATTACATCAGTCAGTACGATTCCTAATTTTAACTATATATGTTTCTCATCAATTTTAAACTTGTCACCCAAAAGAATGCTTGTTTGTAACATATTCTAAAATGTATTAAAAACTAATTCAGCATTAAAAATCTATGGCTCTGAGAATGTTGTAAATGTCATATGTGTATGTATGTCTTGACATTTATAACATTTTCCGTATATGTCAATTCGTCATAAATGTGTGACATTGACCTACCGACAAATGTCTGACAATTATGACATTTGACATTTATGGACAAATATGACATGTAGAATCATACTTCTTCCGACTCACGCTGTAGAGGTTGGTTCCAATTAAAGGTCCTAGAACAAATCCGGCCGGCACTAAAGACTCCAGCACGCCCTACATTGTAAACTAAGTAATGTCAAAACCTTCTCAGACATGTATTACATTTACACTCTAAATAAATTTAATTTCCTCAATTTTGAGTAAAATTTCCACTAACACAACTATTGAGTAAAAGTTCCCCAAGAAAAGTTAAAGTTTACTTAAACTTGAAAGATTTTTGCTCAACCTTGAGTAAATTTTACATTTGTCGGGGTAAATTTTACTCAACAGTTGTGTTGGTGGCAACTTTACTCAACTCTATTTACAGTGTATGCACGAAAACATTAAGCCCAACTCGAGTTGATTTTACCAAAAAGAAAATCCCAAAGCTTCCCGGAAAGTATTCAGAGACGAGGATAAAAACTGTGGTGAACACCGCACTGGCCGCGGCTCCTTCAATAATCCGTAAAATTATGGATGCCCCCAGAAATATTTGTAAATTGTTTAGTTTATCCACATATCCAAGCACAAATAAGGAAGCTCCTTCCATCAGCAGGGAAGAAATTAGGACAGATTGTGGACTACTTTTGGTAAAGTCCATCTAAAATAAATGTTAAAAGATAGATAACTAGTTATCATATGATATCGACGGCCCGTTAAGTACTTGACAATATTTGACATAAACTTGAACCTATGGTTCGCTACCCCGTTTTTTGGTTATCAAATGTCGGGGAAAACCTTAATGCAGTTTTTGGGTTTCTTTTTTCTACGTATTTGTAAAATTTTGGGGCAGATTGAAACAAGATTCTTTAGATTACAACTTATGTGCATCAATAAAAATTTAGTTTTCAGATTTAGCATGAAATTTCGCGCACTTTTATGTGCGACTTGAATTTCCAATTATCGTTGCATGTTCCTAACTTTATTTAATTTTACTTGTTCCATATCAACTTTTGACTTGAAACTCAAACTCAATTAAAATATTTTTTTACTTGAATTCGAATATTGCACTAGTTTTACTGGAATGTGTAACTTTAGGAATTTTGTTTCAAGCAGCCCCATAATTGACAAAAACCCACAAAAACCCATCAAAACCCAAAAACCAACAAAAATCCCCAAAACACCTTGGGTTAGGTTTTTCTAGAAAAACCCGGGGGTTATCTGAACCCTGCTTGAACCATCAACTCACCATGGTTGCCACGAAAGGTGAACAGAGAGCTATTGCAGCGTCAAATATTCCAAGGACGACGGCATACTCGAAGGAAGTCGCATTTTTACTTTGAGCCTTTAAAAGAACTTGGTTACCTACATATATCACAAATTTATTGGGGCTATCCATTGGCCGCGGACGCGTGGGGACAATTTCCCCACGGAAATTTTGCCATGAAATGAATTTGTCCCCACGATTTTATGGGACACTAACTATTGCCATTGGTTTTGGAACAATCTGCTAGACTTTGATGTTGCTAAGTCAAGTTTTCTAAACTTTTAAGGAAGGATTGCTTCAAATGTTTGAAAAATTTGGGACGATTTTTTAAGCTTGAAAAATAAGTATTGTCCTAACACTGTCCAAAAAAATTATTCTTCCGCGGCCACTGGGCTACCCAATTACATATTTGTAAGTTTTACCGTTTTTGGATAAATTGTTAGTTGCATCGTGTAAATAGATTCGGCAAGGAGGAAAATTGACGCGAAGAAAATTACAACTGGGAAGTTGATTTCGAAGTTATTAGACATGCTTTTTTTGATCACGTTAGGGACTCCAGTAAAGAGAAACTGAAGATGAGCTACATGCATGATCCCACTGGAATCTAACTGGTTGGGAAATACCGACTGTAATTAAGAGCTATTAGCTGTAATTAGTACACTGTAAATAATCTGGTAATAAACATTATCAAAAAGTCTTATCAAAAAGTCTTTGGTAGAGTCAAAAAGACTCTACCAAAGTGGTAATGATAAGGTGCACCGTGCGGTTATGGCCTGGTAATAAAGTTTTGCGATCATAGTAACGAATTTTTACTACTTGGAAAATTATTATTACCAAATTTATTACCGAGAAATCTTTACCTGCGTGACTTTACGATTATTAAGAGTGTAGCTATTAGCCGTAATTACCAGCTATTAACCGTAATTAAGAGCTATTAGTCGTAATTACCACCCGAACTCGCAATTAACACTTGTGGATACCTGAAAATCAAGAAGTAATATACAGGGTGGACTAAATCTCACGCTACAATTTAAAATTTGTCGATTGGAAAATCCCCTAAATCGCCATATCAGATTTGGGATTGAAATTATTCTCAAAACTGATAGATAACAAAATTCCTAAAAACTTTAATTCCAGCGACCAAATTTCCGTATCTAATGGAGATTTAGGAATTTTGCCTACTGAAAAAAAATCCATTGCAGCGTGACATTTAAACCACCCTGTAGATTAATCAAATATAATACAAAGATTACTACAGATAATGGTGTGACTGATAAAATATTGTAAAATTGTTTTCTACAAAGATGTTTGAACTTTTAAATACGCAGCCAGGAATTTATAATCACTTTTTAGATAATATTCAATGCACATGAGCAATTAAGTAATGATTATTGAAAATAAAAGTGCACGTGGCATGTATATAATAAATAAACCATTGTGTTGCGTTTCAAAACGTGCGAGTAAGTAAACAATATGTAAATAAGGTCATGTAAGAAAAGACGAAACAATTATGATTTTCAATTAGAAACATTAACCCAAATCGTAACCACATGAGTGCCCGCTTTCACTTTCACTTGCGTGTACTAATCAGTACACCATTAATGGTGTACTAATGGTCAAAAGTAGGTAAATCAGGACAATATTTAAGAACAACGTGCGCCCAAAAGTTCAGCAGAGCGAATCCATTCGTAGATAGACGAACAACAGAACGTTGGATTAGGTGACTCATCGCCTGTGACTTAACAGGTGTAAAGCCCTCTTCAGGCCAAGATTTGGATGGCACCGACATCAGTGGCATGCAGGCAAATCAGTAGTGTGAAATACAAACCAGCGTGCCCTGAGATTTTTTCATCATTTTCCACGATGTCGGTGCAGCAGTTTTTCCAATTAGAAAAATGAATTGACAGAGCTGCAGCAGAAAAACCCAGGTGTGCTGATTGGCTTATCCCGTCTCAGCTTGCCCTCCGCGCTGTGCTGAGCAGTATTTAGTCTCATAGAAATTTCACATTTATTGGTGTCAGAAAATTCATCCGTGTGAACAATTCCCTAATTTTCTGCCACTGACATCGATGCCACTAGTTTCGTGTTGCATCCAAATCTTGGTGTGAAGAGGGCTTAAAACTGCACATTTTTGCTCATTGCTCGGCTCCGGGTATTTATTATAAAATTATATCAAGTAATTTGTAGTCAGTGAGCTGATTAATAGGATAGGTGGGTATTTTTAACGAATTCTGTTGACACCTAATTTTTGTGAAGGTGCTCACTCTTTCAATAAGTGTCAAAATTCAAAGTTCATATTATGAATAAAGTGGTGCCGACCAGGCCTACAAAATTACTTGAGAGAATTTAAAAATTAAATCCCGAAGCCGAGAAATCCTCAAAATGTGCAAATTTTTTGCCCTGCGACGTCACAGACCATGAGTCACCTAATCCAAAGTGAAATTAATGTTAATCTGACAAGGGAAACTTCTGAGGTGCAGTAAAAATATAAGTAAAATGAAAATTTGTGTCCTGGTTTCATCCTACGAGGGGACGGGGGAAGAGTTTCGTGAAGTTCCGCCCGATTATCAGGACCCCTCGATCTGGGCGTCTAATCATGACTTCGTCTTGAAACACGTCACGAAGGAAGACGCCATCGAGAAGATTTCCGAAGCCCTCGGGGAGGGGTACGATTTCATTTGGAATTTCATGTGGGGCCTGGAATCCTATTCTGTCGCAGGGGTGGAGGCTACTCGATATTTGGAATCTGCGGGGCATCCTACGCTGGGAACTTCGTCCAAATATTTGAGCTTAACTAAGCTGGATTGTAAGGTAAAATAAATAATGCACTGATATGGTATATGAGAAGGTTGAGTTGGTTGGATATTCGGATCCATCCGAACCGAATCCGAATTTTTGGGTTAAAAAACCACCCATCCGAATCCGAATTTTTCGGTGGAAAAAATGTTTATCGGAACGGAATCCGAATTTTTTGGTTGAAAAAATATCCATCCGAACCGAATCCGAGTTTTTCGGTTAAAAAATATCCATCCGAACGAAATTCGCATTTTTTGGTTGAAAAATATCCATCCGAACCGAATCCGAGTTTTTCGGTTAAAAAATATCCATCCGAACGAAATTCGCATTTTTTGGTTGAAAAAATATCCATCCGAACCGAATCCGAGTTTTTCGGTTAAAAAATATTAATCCGAACGAAATTCGCATTTTTTGGTTGAAAAAATATCCATCCGAACCGAATCCGAGTTTTTCGGTTAAAAAATATCCATCCGAACGAAATTCGCATTTTTTGGTTGAAAAAACATCTGTCCAAACCGAATCCGAATTTTTCGGTTGAAAAAACATCCAAACCGAACCGAACAATTCGGATTCGATTAGGATGGGTACATTATCCAAAATTCGGATAACGGACGCAACTTGTATGCATATTTATGGGAGCTTTTTGATTGAAATTTCAGCTCGCGGCTGGTCAACTCGGAATCCCCACTCCGAAATGGACCGCGGCCTCAAATTTTGACCTGACCGGGATGACCTATCCCGTCATCGTGAAGCCAAGCGATGGTTACTGCAGCCTTCACCTGAGCAAGGATTCCATTTGCAAGAATGAAGAACAAGTTCTGGAACAAATCGAGTATTTGAAGGGACAAAAGCATAATCCCGTTGGAGACGTTTTGATCGAGGAATTTATTCCGGGGGATGATGTGTTCTGCATGGTTCTGGAAACTAGGAGGGGGGTTGTCGCACTTTCCCCCATTGTTTACGAGTACTCCGAAGAGAGAGGGGGGGAGTTTGAAAATTCTTTTCTGGATTGGAGTTCCAAATGTGGACCGCTTTTGGGGTTGGAGGAAGAAGGGGGCATAGTGAAATATAGGATTATGGAGGAGGGGAAAGATGAAATGATAGACAAGATTCGGGACGCCAGTGTGAATGCGTTCGTATCGTTGGGTGTGGCAGGAAGTGGGTATGCCAGGGTGGATCTGAGGGTGCATGGGGATCAAGTATTTGTGTTGGAGGTAAGGGGAAAATGTATTTTATTTCTACCTTTCCCATCTCCAATCCTGTCTTAAGCTTTTGAGGGCAAAATACACATATTTGCTTAGTTATTTTATTTTCCATGCATTGACGACCGAATATATAAATCTGTGTGTTTCATAGATTACCCTAAATTTCTCAAAAATAAGAGTATTTCTTTGATATTTTGTAGAAAACTCAATGGTTAAAAGTGGCTTTTTATATATTTCTTTACAAATTTTGGAATTTCCCCTATACCGACTAATATTAGTGGTATTCACAGTAACCGATTATAATCGTCAGGACAATTATAATCACAATCGATTATAATTATATACCATGAACGCACCTGATTATTGTTGTTTTTTTATTATTTTTCTTAAAATATCCAGCAGGATTCATTAAATAGTATCATAGCAACGACTACTTTTTCGGACGCTTTAAAAAAATTGCATCTGGAGCAAGAATTATAATCCAAATAATCGTCAATTGAGAAGATTATTTTTTTGACGATTATAATCACATTGGTTTATTTTTCGCCATAGAGAATTTTTGGGTGATTATAATCGATAATGATTATAATCGTAATAATTGGTTACTTTGAATACCACTATTAAAATGTGAATTTGTTGGATATTTTTCTCTACAAATTTTGAAATTTTCTCTATACCGACCAACGTTAAAAAGTGGCTTTTTCGTGTTTTTCGTCAAAAACTTAAACATTTGAAAGTGACATTTGAAAATTTTAATCAGTTACTATCAGGTGTAATTATGAAATTAATATCGTACAGAATGGAAATTTCATTAAAAGTCACTATTGTCAAAGATATTAAGTCTCAGATAAAATGTTTTTATCCGTACTGTTTGCACCGAATATGTTTGACGTTTCAGGTAAACCACACCCCCGCCTTTTTCTGCTTTAAGGGAAACTTATACGGGGATGACTCCGTGATTGAAAAGACCTTCCCAGGCGGTCACAACGGCCTCGTGGATGCCATAATCTCCGCAAAAAAAGTGATCCAAGTAAGAAATGTGATGAAGTTTGAACGGGTATCATGCACAGGTTTATAAATAAATCAATAAATATATAAATATAAAATAACCAAAATGTCATAAATGTATGATATTTTTTTATAAAAATTTTATATTTCCGAGCTTTCGACGGCGAACTGCTATCTTGTTCAGGAAGAGGTATTGAAATTTAAATCAAAGTAATTAAAGTACGATATGAATTATGATGCAATATGTATAATGGAGCAAATTTATTTGAATAAATACTAAATATTAACTTTGAGAAAATGGATATATTACATAGTATTTTGACTTGCGTTATACCCCATCCACTCTTAACCTCTTTGACACTACGGATTTTTTAATAAAATCTCCCTTCGCTGCGAAATGAATTTCATAATTACACCTGATAGCAACCCACTAAAAATTTCAGCCAGTTTACAATTTTTGAGTTTTGAACGAAAAACACGAAAAATCAATTTTTTAACGTTGGTTGGTATAGGGAAACTTCAAAAATTTGTGAAGAAAAATATCCTGAAAAACACTTTACCATCGGGTTTTCCACAAAACACGTAGAAATATTCATTTTTGAGTCATTTTTGTTTCAAAGTAATTTATGCATTACACACATTTGTGTTACGTCGTCAGCGGAACATAAAATACTACGCAAATCTGCATACTTTGTCGTTCAGAGGTTAATCTTCGTTTTCCCCTCTGCATGTGTTTGGGGGTGTGGCCTGTGAATGGTGAGTGTGGTGGTTTTTGTGCTGTTTGTGTGGTGGAAACTGTGATGTTAATAATGTGGACGTAGCTACTCAGACAGAAGAGGGATTAATTTAGAATCAGTCATTACTGGTTTAATTGTCAATAAATATGGCGAATAATGGTACAAGAATTGGGAATTTAGAAATTGACTCTCAAAAACAAATATAGAATTGACTGACTGACGTGACACTGTTGATTCATGGAATGGCCGATTGAGAATGAAGTAGAAGCTGAAGAGAAGTGAAGAAACTGGACAAAATGACGCCCCTCTCATATACATACATACATAGCTTATTATCATGAAATGCATATATCCATGTCTAATATACTGACAGTACTGAACAGCATGTATGCATGTATATTGAAAGAGAATATGCCCAGCGGAAAACAATTGTTATATGTGAATTAGCCCGATCAAAATTCAAATTTGTTTACGGAACAAAATATTCTGAGGTTTTTCATCCGCTAAAAAAGAGTTAAAGGAAAGCAAGAATATTTATGTATAAATGAACAAAACTTTTCATATAAGAAATCTTTATTTTATATGCAATTCTGCAGAGTTGTATTTTTGCTTAGAATTCAAGCTTAAAGAACTACTTTGTCTCACCAATAATTAAGTGAACAAATTAATGTATGGAGGAACGTAATTGGTAACAAGAATAAATTCCTCCCATTCATAACTCTTTTATTCATCATTAAGTAGTTACGTATGAATGAGAGGAAGTGCAAATTAATGCAATTGATGGAAATATTTAAATTAAATATATATCAATAACGTTTTTGTGTAAACTCTGGTCGATGACCTAATTAAATAATCCTGAGATGAATTAATGCCACGATAATTTATTCTTTATATGAGTGATGAACTCTAATTTGTTGACGGGACAAATTTATTTTCATACATTCATTACAAGATGAATTTATTAATGAGAGACTTCACTCACATAACGAATAAATTTTCGTTTGCATAAACTCATCTCAGGATTATTTGATTAGGTCCTCGACCGGAGTTTAAACAAAAAAGTTCTTGATATGCATGTAATTTATGTGCATGAATTGCATTAATTTGCACTTTCTGACTTCCTACCGTGGTCTTTATTTATTTATTATTCTTGGTTATGTATCGCTGACGGTGATGCATCTCTTCTCATTCCGTTTTGAACCAGAGGAGAGAAATTACCGAATTTTTGCAAATATGGAGCTTACAAAATGTCAAATATTATTTGCACTAGTTGTGCTTGCCACGTGTGAGAAATTTCCATCGCAACATCATGAGAGGTAATATTTCATAAATACAAATAGATCCTTTATTATGTACCTTAACAAGAGAAAATGTTAAAGCGATCAACAATATTATTTGGTTTAGGGAAAATGAAATATTGAGAAGAATCCCATTCGGGAATAAAACAGACAATGGTAAGAGATTACCGGAAATTTGGGTATGGAAATTTGGGCGTAAGGAAATATAGGTATGGGAAGTTTCGGTCTGCATAAATTTTGGTCTCGGAAATATGGAAATATTTGGGCATGAAGAATTTTAGGCATGGGAAATTTGGGTATGACAAAAAATACTTTTCAACAATTGCTCGTCGGAAAATATGGGGGTTGTTAAAAGGGCCGATTATTAAGGGGTGAAACCCCTTTATAAGATTGATATGTCCGTCCGTCCTCACGATAACGTAAGAACAATTTAATATTTTGAGTTGAAATTTGGAACGTAAATACCTTATGTGAAAAGAAAGGTCAAGTTCGAAGATGGGCACTGTAGATCATACCCTTCAAGGTCAAAAGGTCAACAAAACGGTAAACATGATACGTATGTCAATTTTAATTTAAATTTAACCCCTTCAATTGAAAAATGTGGATTTAAATTGAAAAAATCAATTTAAATTTTTTAATTTTTTAAACCACATTTACGATAAAATTTCATGCAAAAATTTCGGATTGAGTGATAGTTACGACTTGGGCCATATCAAGTCTGCAGTGTAGGTTCTTAACTCAAAAGTTCGTGTTTAACAACTAAAATAGTAATAAAACAAAAAATATGCAATAGTAATTGGGGAATTCAAGTCGACATAAAATTGTTCAAAATTTCATTCTGAATCTGACAGTTAAATTTTTATTGATTTAAATTGTAGTTAAACGAATGTTGTTTCAATCTGCCCCAAAATTTTACAAAACCCCAGGGAAGACCCACAAAAACCAGCAACCCCATTCAGCATTAGGATTTTTCCGGATATTTGACACCCCGAAAACCTCAATAACTTCAACCCACAAAAACCCGGAGATTTCCCCTCGGTTTTACCCCTTCGTTACATGCGTTTAACGGTTTATTTACGGAGTAATTACATGAACTACATCTCGGCGGTAAGAGATTGTGTTGAGACGATCGGGATTTAACTATTTTTTATCATACCCAAATTTCCCATGCCTAAAATTCTGCATGCTGAAACATACCGCTACCCATATTTCCGAAACCAAAATTTCTGCAGACCGAAATTTCCATACCCAAATGTCCGAGGCCAAAATTTCCATTCCGTACACCGTAAATCTATGTACTTATACACATCTAACAATGCGATTACGCCGGCGGTCTCGCTCCGATTTTGACGAAACCACATAGCCTTAGAAAAATAATTAAACACATTTTTCAGGATTTTTCATAATGTTCAGTTTAACCGAAATTGTGATGGAGGCGGTGAGCCAGAATTTGTATTTTAACCGTGAACTTTTTCTCGCCACGGAATTTCACAGTAAAAATTAAAATTCTCACTAACGGATTCTGTCAAAATTTCGTTTAAACTGAGCATTATGAAATATCCTGAAAAATGTGTTTAATTATTTTTCTAAGGCTATGTGGTTTCGTCAAAATCGGAACGAGACCGCTGGCGTCATCGCATTGTTAGTTAATTCCCGTGGTGATGAAAATGACTTAATTTTTGTCTACTGAAAATCGATGTAAATTCAAAACTTAAAATTTTAAATATGTAATTCTGACAGAAATCGTTCGCCGAAAGCCCTCCCACGCTTTATCTGTAATCCCGCAGAACCGAATTTTTGAAGGGGCGAGTGGAAAATTGGAGATAACGGATAACTGTGAAGGGGAAAATTACCTTATTTCCGCCTTTCCACGGTATGTATAATGTGAATATTTGTGTATATAATGAAATTTGCAGTACTTTCTTCAAATCAGAGTTTCGTTTTCATCTTTTTAAAACAGGAGAGATGACTGCGTTCAGACGTCCCCGAGTAAAATGCAGGTACGTGCATGAGATCAATTATGTTAAGCATTCGTCTACAAAATTTATTTAATACCTTCTAAATAATCTAGTAATAAACATTATCCAAAATCACAAGTATATGACTCTACCACAGTGGTTGTGATAAGTTCTACTGTGCGGTGATGGCTTGGTAATAAAGTGTTCCCAACATGGCAATGAATTTTAACTACGTGGTAAAATATTATTACCAAATTTATTACAGAGAAATCATTACCTGCATGACTTTACCGGATTATTAAAAAAGTGTACTGATAATTAAATATGTTTTGTGCATGGTGTGTAAAAAGTGATAGGATTTGTGACGTTTTCAAAATTTCCATAAAATCATAGCATGTCAGACTTAGAAATTATTTATTATGCATATTTATGTAATTCGCATTGTAAAAACTTGATGTATATACAGCAAGCTAAAAATTGCTCCGTACCTTCTTTTGCAATAAGATAAATCACGCGTTTTTCTTTTTTATGGGACACATTTCTGATTGCCTAATGCATATGTTTTTTATAAATAATTTAACGTAGATTACGAAAATAATATCCCTTTTTAGTTGTTCCGTACCGATAATGAACCATTAATTACAAAGTGGAAGAAAATTAAAAATCCATGCAAAACATTAAATCGTACCCTCTTTTTTTCAACCATTCATTTTTCCACCAACTTCAAAACAATAATTTTTAAGTTGCATTTCGAGCTTAATTTATATTTAATTTGTATTTAATTTATATTTATTTTTAATCATATCGAAACTCTCGCCACTTTTCCTAAACGTATTCACTCTCACGTATCATGAGCCGAGTAGTCAAGAGCTAAAATCCTTGCTTATCTCAAGCCCACCTCCCTTCCCGAATTTAGTCTCCTTTACCGTGAAAGATCGTAATTATACGCATATTAACGATCCTTCCGGAATTTTACCGCCGGAGTGGTTGCTGATCACGAAATTTGAGTTTAATGTCTTCGCCATTCCAAGCTTGTCTTTTGGGCCGACTTTTCTCTGGCCCGAACCTTGACGCAGGTGCACATCAACGAATTATGTATTTCGCAAGTAGGTCACGCAAACAGTGTGTTCATTCAGGTCCTACTTAAATTAAGGGTTTTTAAGGTAACACTCTCCAGCTGAAGGGGGTGCTCTTATATTCCGCACTTGCACTTGAAATTCGAAACGGCGAATGTCGTCAATGGTGTGAAAATAGAGTACGGTGGGCAGTTCCCCGCCTAGGAGAAGATCGTTGTAAGCTTTGTGGGAAAAGCGAAGACGGAAGAGCAAAGGGAAAAATGTTTTGCGGCGAGTGCTCAGTTTTCGTATGGGTCCTTTCTATGGGGAGGGACTGCGGTGTGTGGGACTTTAAGGGAATTGGATGTGCAATTCCCAGCTGGCGAGAAGCGAATTAATTCCAGTACAAGCGGGTGGAGGGTGAGATAAATCGGGTTTGTTCACATGCTTGTGATAAGGTGAGGCGAGAAGTGAGAGAGAAGTGGATTGAGATGGGGGTCAGGTTGGTATTTTTTAGGAAAGGTGAGAATCCGGGGATTGATGATGAGAGTTTGCTGAATGTGAGTGAAGGGTGGTGTAAACAGTGCGCAAATATCAGGAACAATTAAAGAACAGAGGGACTTGGAATCCAAGTGTAACCATGTTAAGTGTAACCCTTCGAATTAGTGGAAATTTTTAATTAAATTATTATCAATTATATTCAGCATTTTTTGTTATTATTTATTTTTATTATTATTATTTATTATTAAATTGTATTATTATTATATAGAATCATTATTAATTTTATAAAAGTATTTAGTCAAAGTCAATACAACCCACGCTTCTTAGGGCAGTTTGTGTGATGGTCGGCATGTGTCGAAATATTTGAGAGCAAAATTGAAAAATGAGCAACTCCTGTCAAGTGGAATAACCACTCCAAATTGAAAAAAATCGCTCATTTTTAACTTTGACCTCAAACATTTTGAATAATATCTGAATCTGAATCCTAGCCCGATACACTCTATCCCAGCCCGAAACTCGATAACTATAAAATAATTATACAAATAATTCCCAAGCAGTTTAACAAACATTATGTATCATTGAAATTACTTCACTTTAATCTCATACCTCTAAATTGACTTTTATCAATATTTATTGATGCCGTACATATGCATCAATCATCCATGAAACTGTTTCGGGAATAATTTTTAAATGATATAATTTAAAGACATTTTTAAAATGAGCCGGATTTGTATTTTATTTAATAGAAACAATAATAGTAGTGTGTCGCGGATAAACGGAGCCTTTATATTTTTTAACAATAATAACTAAACTTGAGCAATACCTCTACAACTCTCAATGATCAAACTTGATCAATATCAATACTACAAACAATGCCCATGTAAACTTTATTCTTATGATATCACTACATATACTGAAAAATACCCCCTTCTAGCTTTAAAAATTACAGTTTGTTCTCAGAATTAATTCCCTGAAAATACAAAAATTGATTTTTTAAAAGTTTTGGTACCTTTCATCTCGTCCACATGGTCGCGCGGTTATCCAAATCTATGTCGAAGAAATAGATATTTCTGAAATGTCGCCAATGCATAAAACGAATTACATAACAAGTAATTTCCTGAATTGCTAAAAAGAAATGAGATAATTTTAAGAGTGTGCAATGCGGCCGGATATGTCTTTCGCGGCCACTGACGCCTTGTACTTACCACTCCCCTCGCGCGTGATGGCCTGCTTCTTTAAAACCTTGCCGGGTATTATCGAAAATTAAACATGCAAAAAAGGGATTAAAACTACAGAAAAATATTGCCTTCTATGTATAATGATTTTCTAAATGCACGCGATGATTATTGGGAGTAGTTTACACCATTAGTCAGATGGAATGTGAAGAACAGGGTTCGGAAAACCCCGAGGTTTTTCTAGA